TACCAGTAAACTACACACAAGTGCAGTTTGTTATATAAAGATTGTATTCCATATATATGTGTGTGTGAAAGAGGTAAAAACTGTACAAGATTCAACTTTTTTTTATTGACGTTTGTTTCAAAACATGAAAAAATAGACCAAACTTGTTTTTATTGGAGCTCTTTTTTTATATTCCTTTCCAGAGAGACAAACTATGAGAAGACTTATTCTTCCACGAAATTAGCTGAATCAGAGAAAGATGACATACACGCAGTAAGTTTGAGGAAGCAAAATTTACTGGACATGAATATCCGCTATGTGTTTACATACGTGTACACGTGTATATCCGCCAGTTGTTCATATACATATATACACATGAATATCCGCTAGGTGCTTATTTATATATACAAACACATGAATATCCATTAGGTGCTTATATATATATAAACTAGCTGAAGTACCCTGAAGTTATGTAAATTCATGATTAATGAAAGGTTATCTTAGGACATGAAAAGGTATTTCCGTATATATGTAATTGTAAAAAAACGCCCATAAAAACCGCAAAACACAAAATATGAAACCACTAGTTTACATGTATCTCTGCACGGACCCAACAAACCCCCACACCAATTCTGGTGAAAACCCATCCACACCCTAACAAGTAGTTACATGGACGGACAACAGACAGTACTATTATATTTATATAGATACACACACATATATATATAATGTTGATTGGATCTTCGATCTCCGTTAAACTATTTCGTTGAGATTAAAATAAGTGGTGTCAAGCATTATGAAAAGTAAAAAGTTAAATAAACCGTAGTTGTCCATCTTCGTTTTATTGGAAGTCACTTGGTATTTCAGTGTATGGTCATTAGGGGTCAGACCCCCCAATTATCGGCGAGTGTTATTGCTTTTTTACGGGCAGGTGAAAGATGCTTATACGACCGTCTACGCAGTTAAATAGATCATAAAATTGTCTTTATATATGTATTCCCATTTAGTTTATCTTGAAAGACAGACTCTTTATTTCGGTGATTCAATTACATGTTTTTTTATTTATTCGTTTACTAGATGCTTCATGAAAATAGGCCCGAAAAAGGAAAACTTTCAAAGAAGTAAGTGTTTTGTCATTTTTTTGCGTTATTTGTTATATTAATCAACTTGGGTCGTTGAATGGGATTAGTTCTACTACAGATCAATAATTAATTGTTAAAATTAAACTAGTGCTCTGTCGCTTGAGTTTCGTTTGTTGCTTATTTTCACTTTCACCATGCATCAGAGTGATCAAAACATAATTTACGCCATTTGTTAGATCATCATCAGGATGCATAAACCACATGTTACGTCTCTATCTATAACATTTAAAGTCGTCATCTGGGTGATTAAAACATATGTTTATGTTTTTAGTTATAATAATTAAAGTCATCATCTGAGTGACTAAAGAGTGTG